TCTAGTTAATATAAGATTAATATAGTATAGACATAGCACATATGTAACAAAAACTATCTATGTTAATAAAACTAGAGTGTTGTCTCACCTTAGCATTAAAAAAAAAAATAGATAGTTATCAATAGATTTGAATAATTTCTTAGCAAATTATTGCATTCTGAAAAATTAAATTTAATTGTATCTTCTGAAATTCTGAATTTATTAGTTGAATTTTATAAAACTTCTTATAAAACTATAAACTTTTGAAAGTCATTTGTTAAAGATATTAATAATAATTCAATAATTGTTTAAAATAGAATCAATTAATATGGAGAATATCAAATTGAAAGTGAAATCTTTAATTCCATTATGTTATCATAAAATATAAAAGATTTATTTGTTTTAATCTAATTTGTTAATTATGATGGAAGTATCAATTTATATCTGAGACAGGTTCAATTTTTTTTTACTTATTTGATCAACTTATTGAATATTGTGGCAAAATATAATTTGGCTTTTATTTGATAGTTTAAATCTGTTAATTTGATAAATATCAGATTCTATTTTGAATCTGAAAATAATGTGAATGTTAAACTATAGAGTATTGAATTTTATCTGATTATATGCAAATGTATAATTCCTATTTTTAATATTTTTAATTGATTTATTCTATTTAAATATAAGATTTCAAATCAACAATATTCTTGTGAATATTTAACTATTATTTCTTTAAATTGCAAATACAATATATAAAATTTAATCAAAACATATATAATTTAGCAAGATAATATAATTTAACAAAAATAAATATATATTTAACAAGATAATATAATTTAGAAAAGTAATATAATTTAGCAATATATATTTGACAAGATAATATAATTTATCAAAGTCAATATATATATATTGTCATGGATAAAAAAGTGGGGTACAATGACACGATACATGTTGTGTTATGTAAAAGGTATGTTTATGGTAGAATCGGTGAGAAAGTAATAGTGAAAAAATTAGAGTAGAATGCCTTATGTAATCATATGGCGCAAAGCGATTAGCATGTTGTTAGCCTGGTAAAAATCACATGGTATAGTCACGTACCATGACTATTGCGTCGCGTACCCTGGAAATTTAGGATAGCATTAGTAATTAATATAGCAAAATGTAGTCATAGAGGCTTATGTAACTTACCCATAGTTTATTTTAGCTCTGATAGTTTAGCATTATCAATTTATGCATCAATAGTATAGCTGTGGGATTAATAATTAATAAGTGGATAGGTAAATAAATAGCAGCAGTATAGAAGAAAGGGAAGACAGACATGAACACGTACAAAGTAAATTAATAAAAAAGGGATTAAAAGAGAAACAATAGTGACTCTGAGTTGTCATAAAGAGAAAGTAATAATTAACAATTTGCTTTTTTGAGTATACACCGTTTTAGGAAGGATAACCACTGCTAGAAGAACATAGCCTGGGATATCAGGAAGAAAACAAGTGCCAGGAAAGAAAAAAAGAGAAGTTAATTAGTACTGCCCAGCTAAATTAATCATACACGCCTCAATTTATCTTTAGTAATGCGAACTTTGGACCAGTGAAGCGACTGACTCGCCGTTTTCCGGCCCAACAATGTAAACAATACTAGCATATAAACAAACTAGCATGTATAAATATGACCGTCGAATAAGCAAAATAAAGCCAAGCAGACTTTAGATAGCATTTACCAAAAAATCCGACTCGAAGTATTTAAACTTTTATTTGTGTTTACTATTTCTATTGATTGTTTTTACACCCATATCTTGCTCACATGACTATACAAACCAGAGTTCGGCTAGAAAGATTGGAAAAGTTCTAGCAACTACAAGAGTTCCAGTATAGGATGTTCAGTGTAAAGTTAGAAAGCGAAACCAGATCGGTCAAATTGTGACACGCCTCAAGAGTTTAAATCCATATTACGCAAAGCTTATCTATCTTTGGCAACAGACTCGCCGGTTAGCCCATGACATTTGGTGGTAGACCGTGAGATTCAAACATCAATGAATTAAGAACATCGTTCGTTTACCCCCTTCCCCCTGATAAAAATATACAAACATTAATTAAATGCTAATTATAATTAACAAACAAACCTTAACAAACAAACCTTAACAAACGCAATTAAAACACTTACCATTTCTGAAGGAAATGTGACCAATTTGTGACCAGATAGAAAAAGGAGATGCCACTAGAGCCAGATTATTATGACAATAGGAGTGATTCAAATGAAGACACCCCACAAACCCACTATTGATCACAAGACATACTACAATATTTGGTAAGAGTTTTCAGCAACCTAGAAAATCAAAGAGCTAGGTCAGAAGAAAATAAGAAAAAAGAGATTCAATGGGTTAAGGCGCGGGAATTCAGAGGAGGAAAAGAGGAGGATCCATACTTGTGATTAAAGTCGTATGAGAGAGTCACCAAAATGAATAACTGGTCAAACAACAGGAAATTGAAGTTAGTCGCAAGCCACTTGGAAAGCCATGCAGCAGACTGGTTCAAAGATCAACAGGATCAAATTATACAATGGAATGATGAGAATGACTGCAAAGGAAGCTTCGTTCCAAATTTTTTACAGTATTTCGTAACGCCCAAATAATGACATCGATGGCACACAGAACTAATTAACATAAAGCAAAAGAGTAGAGAGAGTGTGGTTACCTATGCCCAGCGATTCTGAAAGCTACTAAGGAGAACTGATCCTGATGACGACATATCGAGAAGAAGTAGAGTCAGGTTTTTCGTAGGAGAACTAAGAAGGAGAATTGCGATGTCAATTATATCGAGCACTACACTACGCTAGAGGAAATAATTAAAGAGGCGAAACGAGTTGAGGCAAACAAAGAATATAGGCTATATAATAGGGAGGAAAAATCAAGAAAAACGAGAAGACTAGAGGACGAGATCCGGAAATTGAACTAGCAACTTCGGGAACTGAGGATGAGTTACAGCAAGCCTAATGTCACCGGAAAGTACAATACGAGAAGACCTAAAACACCAACAGAAGGAAACGACCGAGGATGCTTCGAATGTAGCGAAAAGGGGCATCATGCTAGAAACTGCCTGAGGAAAGAAAATACTCCAAAAAAGGTTCAACAAATTGGTGAAGTGCAATATTTCGAAATTGTGAAGGAGAGTGATGATGATGAACGAGAGGGAAAAGTCTATGCCTTGAAACAAGAGCAATTAACCAACATGGAGGCGAGAAAGAAAAAGAGGAAGGATGCATCGAATTCAGAATCAATATGGGAGAGACGCTTGAGAAGTAAACCTAAACTCGAAGAATCAAAACCGGATCACAACAATGACAACGATAACATACCTATAATCAACGAGGATGAAAATATGAGGAAGGTACCCCCTCAGAGGAAACCGTGCAGGAAACGAGGGCCATCAGTAGTGGAGCAGGCACCTTCCTACAACATTGTCGATGACATCTTGTCGAAACCTGTGAGTGCTACGATTGGACAACTTCTACAATACTCCAACCAAAGAAAGTTATTAGCAAAGGCCCTTCGGAGGATGCTACTAGAGGAAGAGACAAACTACGTTAATATAAGCCAAAGAAGACAACTGCAATGAAATACCAGATACAAGTTAACAAAACCCCGATCACCGCCATCGTCGATACAGAAGCTGCCGTGAGCTTTATCACAAAGAAGTTAGCGAACCGATTGAGCCTTAGGATAGAGAAAAAATCTGTAATAACGATAGTGACTATCACGAGAATAAGGACAAGAACATTAGATATTATTATAAGCTTGAAAGTAGAAATCCAAGGCATTTCGATTCTTACTTCGCTGCAGGTGGTTGACTCTAAGGATAAGACCTTTCTCCTGGAGAATGATTGGTTTGAGAGATTAAGGGCCAGGATATATTACAATAAACAAAAGTTGATAATCAACCATGAGGGCAAAGTGTTAAAGGTACCAATCTCGAACGATGCTACTAGAAAAGTTACGTTTAGTGGGACCGGAGAGGTTGAGAAGTTAGATAATGAGAATGAAATATGGGACAAAATAATCTATGAGGATGAGGAGGTGGACGAGAGGGAAGGATACTACACAGAGAGAGCATTTAATAAAACAAATGCCCAGGGTGAACAAGAATTAGACCTATTGGGACCTGTGGTGTACTTATCTCAGGTGGAGGAGTTCCCTATTGAAACTAAGGAAGATCAAGAAGAGGAAGAGACTATAGAAGATAAGATAAGAGAAATGGAGTTAGATGGAGAATTAGAGGAAGAACAAATAGAGCAGGCAAAAGGGACATTGATAAGGGAGCAAGATGTTTTCGCGTGAACCATGCAGGAGTTAGGAAGTACTGAGGCAGTATAGCACACCATTGATACCAGTGATGCAACTCCGATCAAGCAAAATGCCTACAGAGCCACACCAGATGTGAGGGAGTTTATCAAGCAAGAAATAGCATAGTTAAAAGAGAGAGGATTAGTTCATGAATTGAGAAGCCCATGGTCCTCACCTATAATCATAATGCCGAAGAAAGGTGAAAAACTACAGTTGTGTGTAGACTATCAAAGATTGAATGCAGTCACTAAAAAAGACGCGTATCCCTTATCACGAGTCGATGACCTAATTGAGGCCTTCGTTAATGCCAGATGGTTCAGTACTATAGACCTGTTATCAGGTTATTGGCAGGTAACAATGAAAGAAGAAGACAAAGAAAAGACGACATTTGTGACAGCTTGGGGGACATACGAATTTAATGTTATGCCATTCGGATTGTGTAATACTCCTGTGACATTTCAGCGGTTAATGAACACCCTCTTGCATAAGTTTATTGGGAAATTCGTGGTTGTTTATTTGGACGACATAACTATTTACTCCAAGACATTCGAGGAACATCTAAGTCACATTAGTCTCGTCATAAGTGAAATAAGGAAAGCTGGATTAAAGCTAAACCTTGCGAAATGTACATTCTTCCGTTTGAATATTGAATTTTTGGATCACGTGATTGGACAAAATGGAATTCGACCTGATGAAGTGAAGATAGATAAGGTCAAGTACTTCCCCATTCCAAAGAATTTGCGACAGTTACGAGGATTCTTCAGCTTGGCATTATATTACCGACAATTCATTAAGGGATTTTCTACAATCGTGCGATCACTATATCACCTGATAGAAAAAAATATCAAATTCAAATGGGAGGCTGAGCAGAACTACGCATTCGAAACCCTGAAACAATATCTAATTACCGCACCAATCTTGAGATACCCAGATTATTCCAGGATATTTTATCTACATACTGATGCATCTGAATCGGGATTGGAGTGATTCTGTCACAACAGGATAAGGACGGCAAGGAGTACGTGATAGCTTACGCCAGTCAAGGGTTAAATAAACATGAGTGAAACTATGCAACCACTGAACTGGAATGTTTAGCTATAGTATGGGCGGTTGAGCATTTTCAACACTACTATGGCATGAACCCCTTTGTCGTTATAACCGACCATGCTGCTTTACAATAGTTGCAAACATCACAACTCACCGGAGAGACGCGTGAGGTGGATCCTACACCTGCAACCGTTCAACTTCTCAATCGTACATAAGAAAGAAAAAAGTCACAATAACGCGGACGCATTATCACACCTCTAAAGACCCGTTCTAGAAATTTCGAGAAAAAAAAAAAACAAATATAAGAATCGGTCGAATGACATCCTTTATTTACATTCTCATTCTGTTATTATCTTTATTCCGCTACCCTTTCTATCATTCATTTTTTTTTGATTTCGTGTTATTATTATCATCATTTCACTATTCCTTTTTGTTATTTCTTTTTTTTATTTTTATTTTTATTTTTATGTCATTTTCTTTCTACGTATCTGTTTAAGATAGATCCAACACACTTTAGCTATTTAAGGAATTGCCTACAGAACTACAGTTTGCTAGCAGATATGGAACTAGAGGAGAAATGGCGAATACAGAAGAAGAGTAAAAGCTACCTGTTTAAAGAGGGGATCCTGTACAAGAAGAATAAGAAGAAAAAGGGACATCTGTTGCACGTAATTCAACATCATGAAATGGAACCTGTTTATATCTCATGCACAAACACCCATTGGGTGGACACTTGAACAAGGATGCTATGTTAAACAAAATTCGGGATATTTATTATTGGCCACAAATGTATGCCAATATTCGAGCATATATACAACAATGCAATCAATGTCAACGCCGTGGAAAATCGCTTACTCCAGGACCATTACAGTCAATACCTGTTACAACACCATTTGGCCAAATTGGAATTGACTTTGTGGGGCCCCTCCCAGTACACCACGACAAAATAGATATATTCTTGTTTCTGTGGACTATATGACGAAGTGGCCCAAAGCAGTAGCTGTCAAACATGCAGATGCAGCAACTGTAGCGAACTTTCTATATGATGAAATTATCTGTCGTCATGGGTGCCCTAAGTATATACTCTCTGATCGAGGAACACATTTCAACAATAGTGTAATAAAAGAACTTATCAATAGAATGGGAATAGAATACAAACTATCGTCACCCTATCATCCACAAACAAACAGTTTAACAGAACAATTCAATCAAACCTTATGTGAATCTATTGCCAAACTCATACGGAATGTAACCGATTGGGATCTCTTAATTCTATCTATTCTTTTTGTGTACAGGACTGCCAAGCAAGCCTCAACTAAAATGTCACCATTTTATCTAATCTATGGTCATAAGGCTTGACAACCAATTCATCCAAGTAGAACTGAAGGAGAGCTATTGGAAGAAACATTCTTACAGAGGATATTTGACTTAATAAACCAGTTACCTAAGGATAGGAAAAAAGTGGTTAAGCAGATTTGGCAAACACAAGAAAAACAAAAAGATACTATGATATTCATCAAAGATTAACTCAAGTATTTGAGATCGGTGATAAGGTACTGATGTACCATGCCGCTCTGGAGCATTCCAAAAGCAACAAATTTGGATCGAAATGGCGAGATCCCTACTATATCCATAATAAGTTACTAGGAGACACTTATAAGTTGCACACAATGGATGGTCGAGTTATTACTAGTTCCATAAATATAAAGATCCTAAAAAAATATTATGAATCGGAATAAAGGTTTGACCTTATACGCGGTGTGCATAAGATAAGCGTGGGGGAATGTCATGAGTAAAAAAGTGGGGTACAATGACATAGTACGTGTTGTGTCACGTAAATGATATGTTTATGGTAGAATTGGTGGAAAAGTGGTGGTGGAAAAATTAGAGTAGAATGCCTTATGTAATCGTGTAGCGCAAAGCAATTAGCATGTAAACAATACTAGCATATAAACAAACTAGCATGTATAAATATGACCGTTGAATGAGCGAAATAAAGCCAAGCAGATTTTAGGTAGCATTTACTGAAAAATCTGACTTGAAGCATTTAAACTCTTATTTGTGTTTACTATTTCTATTGATTGTTTTCATGCCCATACCTTGCTTACGTGACTATATAAACCAAAGTTTGGCTAGAAAGATTGGGAAAGTTCTAGCAACTACAAGAGTTCCAGTATAGGACATTCGGTGTAAAGTTAGGAAGCAAAACCAGATTGGTCAAATCATGACACACCTCAAGAGTTTAAATCCACATTACGCGAAGTTTACTTATCTTTGGCAACAGATTTGCCAGTTAGCTTACAACAATAGGTTATGTGGATTTTCTCTTTAAGGAGTTAATCATCAAGATAGAGGGGTGGTGATACATATACATTTTGAGATTCAATTCTCAGGAGATCTTCTATAATTAGGTCTTGAATAGCAGTTGTTGATATTTTTGCACAAGGTAGTTTGATTTTTGAGACAGTTATGCAAGAGTATAAAGTATATATATATGTTTTTGATGGAAAAGTCTCACAAAGTTCTAAAAGGTTCCATAAGGTTCTTTATAATTCCAGATACTTCTTCAAATTTCTTGATTTAAAGAACATGAGAATAACTATTTTTGTTAATTCTTCATGCCTCGTGAAAGTCGTGTTGCTAGGGCCTCTTGCCTAACTTATTCAAGGCTTCGTAATTCTTTCTGAAAGACCATTATTATTTTATAAGAGCAGGTTTGCTTTCTAGAATGTCAAATACGTTATAAAGAAATATCAAGGGCTTCTTTAGAAAAAGATTTAAAATACCTTCGTGGGGAGATTTCTCAGTTATCCTTTCCAACAAGTTCCTCTCGTGTTTGTGAACTTGAGTTAGAGAATGAAAACTTGTACTGGCAGGTTACTTGTTTAGGTCTTCTCTTGATTCAGTTGCGTATACAAGTTTCTGTTCCCTTTAACTGGACTTTTTCTTCTTTAGATTAAGGTGTTTCTTTAATTTTTCTCTTTTCATTTCCTTAGTTCTTTATTATTTATTTTTGGAAATGTAGCAGTCGCTAAGTAGCTTGGTTGAGCCAGTTGTAATAATTCATGGGCATCCTGTAGGACCATAGTTATTGTGCTACATTTTCCTTTATTTATTTTTTTTTCTTCTAGGTGAATAATAGGTTCCCAAGATTCTCGGTCGAAATATGGTTTCATCAAGGCAATATTAAAGTGTGCGGTTATAACTTTTCCTTCCATTGTCCTTAACTTATAAGCTCCATTTTTCAAAGTATTGTGGATATAGAAAGATTCTTTCCATTTGAGCTTGAGTTTTCCAATATAGTGTTTATCTCTTGTAGCGTCATAAAGTAAAATCCTGTCACCAATTTTAAATCTCTTATTCTTTTTGATTTTTAAATCATGTCTCTTCTTTTGTTTCTGCTGGGTCTTCTCAATATTCTGCTGGGCTCGAATACGGTCCTGTGGAAGTGTTTTTGTCGATATATATAATTGATTAAGAATGTTTTTATCAACAATTTCATCTATTTCTTTATAGGGTATTGTGGGGTTTCATTTATAAACTAAATAAAAGGGTGTCATTTTGATTATTGCTTGTTTGGAGGTCTGATATGCAAAAAGTACTGGTATTATAAATTCATCCCAATCCTGATTTCCTTTGGTAATTTTGGCCAGTAATTCACAAAAAGTTCTATTAAAACGTTCAACCAATCCATTTGTTTGAGGGTGATATGAGATAGAATATAGATGTGCTATTTCAAATTTTCTTAATAAAGCTTCAATAATTTCATTTCGAAAATGTATTCCTCTATCTGAAAGTATCTGCTTTGAGTATCCATGTCTACAAATAATGACTTGATAAATAAAATCTGCAATACGCTGTCCTGTAGCTTCAGAGATAGCTTCAGCATCGGGCTATTTTGTAAGATAGTCAGTAGCTACTATAATATAATGATTTTCTTTAGTGGT